TAGAGATAGTGACAAGAGATACTATTTTAGCTTAGTGAAAATTTTTTTCTAGAACTGACATTTGAACAGAGACATAGTAGACATCCAGAGAACCATCAGAACTAAAGAATTATTAAGTATAAGGATTTTGTGCCAGAATGATATCTGATGAGTCTATACAAGAAAGAGGTGGTCGACGCAGCTTGAGAAAAAGATGGCAACAAGAGAGGAAGTGTGAAGGTCCTTAGAGGCCTAACAAGGAACTATGAACTTCATCTAAATAGAAAAAGGAGACCCTAATGGGTTTTAGGAGCTCTGGGGTCCTACTGGCAAAGAAGCTGTGCTGCAATCCCAAAGACACACAGTTCGAGTCCACCAGCTGCTCAGTGCAAGAAGGATGGGCAATCTCCTCCATTGCAATTAATTGCCTTTGAAAACTTGATGGAGGGTCAGCTATGGGTTGGTACACAATGACAACAACAGTAGGTTTTAAGGATGGGCAATCTCCTCCAGTGCAAATATATTGCCTCTGAAAACCCACTAGAAAGCCAATTATGAGTTGGTTTCAACTCAGTGTCACACAACATCAATTCCTCAGGTATGCTGAAGGAGATTATACCTATACCATGACCTGGCAGGAAGGGAACATGGGACCAATGATGATTAGCAACAAGATGGGGTCTGTTTAGATCCTAAGGCACCTTGGAGAGAAAGAATGCTCTTACATGAGGGTGAGAGCAGTAGAGGACTGACAGGGCAGAGAAGAAATATGTGTGGGTGAAAAACACTTTTGAGGGTTTCAGAGAAAAGTTTTAAGAGTTTGAGAATTCAGGCCTAAAATCATTCAAGAGTTCACACAGTTCTTTTGTTCTCAAAGTGCAAAAGAAGAAAACCAAGTCCTGCAAAACAAGGAGCCAATTCTACATCTCCAAATGGAGCAGTCCCTTGGTAGACTGACACCAACACAATGACTAAAGAAACAATTCTTTTTAAAAATATTTGTAATTTAAAAACATGCCCAAATGTTTATCATTACAGAAAATGGTCACTGTAAAAACATAGAAAGCACAAACAAACAAAATGAAAAATTAAACTCCAATTAGGAGTTGGATTTACAGGATTCCAATCTGGAATCCTACAACTAGGAATTTCAATAAATAATATTCTAAGTTACATATATATCCAGAGATTAATGAATATGTAAACACAAAGTCCAGACATGTTTTTTAGAAATGCTATTATTTTTTATAAATTGTGCTATAACCTGCTGTTTTCTCTTAGTACTCATATTTATTATGCATGCCCTCTAAGGTAAATAATTTCTAAATCTACATCCCCTTTTTAATGCTACATAATATATAAGGGATTTATCTTTAACTGCTCCACAAATTGCTGTCTGTCAGATACTCCTCTAAATCTGAACATTCAGATCAAGACAGACTAGGAAGAAGGATTGGCCACCCACTTCTGAAATA